GGAGACCAAGGGTCCGAAGGCCCGAGACAGGAGGAGGAAGTGGCTGCTGCTGCTGCTGCTGCTGGTGCTGCTGCTGCTGCGGCTGCGGCTGCTGCTGGGACTGCTGCTGCTGCTGCTCCTGCGGCTCCAGCTGCTGCTGCTGCTGCTCCTCCAGCCGCTGTAACTCCCTCTCCTCTCTCTCCAACGCCAGCTGCTCCTCACGGGCACGGCGAACACGAGCCTGGTGCCTAGTCGGGTAGGGGTGGGGGGGCGGAGTAGTGTCCGGAGCAGCGGCAGCTCCAGAGTCCACCCCCGAAGGACCAGGCACACCACCCCCAGAGGCAGCACTAACACCAGCTCCAGACCCAGGCTCACCAGAACCTGAAGGAGGCGCACCCTCACCCCAAGACGGAGCACCTCCAGTGTCCGCGCGACCAGCACCAGCTCCCGGAAGACAAGAGTCCTCTGCACCCACCGGCTCAGCTCCAACTCCAGCACCCCCAGAACCAGAAACCGGTACAGGAACAGGCTCGGCACCAACCTCTCGAGAGCTAGCACCTGCGACACGCTGCGAGGAGGACTGTGGGGAGGGAGGCTGTACCGGAGGGGCTACCGAAGGAGGAGGGGTAGCCTGGGACACACCTGACGGGGCTGGACCAGGGGGGGGAGGCTGTACCGGGGGAGCAGGAGGGGGAGCGGCAGTCAGGAAGAGGGGGGGAGGAGGAACCGGGAGACCTCGACTGGGGTACCTGACGTAGTACGGGGTGGACTCCTCGAAACGGACGTCACGGGAGTCAAAGAACCGGTGAGAGGGAGGGTGGTAAAAGGTAAAGTCAGAGGAGTCCTCAGGGAAACCAAGGAAGACACAGGGGACGGCGCGAGGCGAGAGCTTGTCCGCAGAGGTGTCGCGGACAAGAGCCAAGCAACCCCAGACACGAAACCTCGACGCAACACCAGGGGACCCGGTCCAAAGACTGGTCGGTGAAGCCTCTGGCCGAGAGACGCGTGGCCAGAGGTTCAGCTGGTGCGCGGCGTACCGAACCGCGTAAGGCCACAGAAAATGGGGGGCACGGGCGTGAGTCAGGGAGGTGCGGGCAATCTCCATGACCAAGCCTATGCGGCGCTCAGCAACCCCATTCTGCTGCAGGGACTCTGGAAGCGTCCAGGACTGACGAATGCCCTGCTCGCGACAGAATCCAGCGAGAATGCCGGAGCGAAACTCACCCCCGCGGTCGGAGTGAAGACAGCTGACACGACGACCACGAGTGTCCGCGGTGGTGAGCAACCACCTGATCAGCGTAGAAGTCACCTCAGACTTCTTCGCCAGGGGGAACACCGTGGTGTAGCGGGAGTAGTCGTCAACAACCACCAGAAAGAAACGCTCACGCTCAGGGCCAAGGCGAGAGGCGGGGCCCCAGACGTCCAGGTGAAGCGTCTCAAACGGCTCGGTGGCCGGACGAAGGGAGGAGGAGTGAGGGGTGGCGCGCAGCCGACCCTCGACGCAAGGACCGCACGGTGGTGCAAGGGACGGCGGCAGCGACGGCAAGACACGCGGGAGACCTAAGACCAGACGCTGACTAGACATAGCACGCAGACGTGGAAGAGAAGGGTGTCCCATCCGGTGGTGCCACAGAACGGTGGGGTGGGCAAGCGACCGACAGGAGCAAGACGCAGCGACTGGACTGGACGCGACAACCTGAGGGGACGGAACCACCTGGTGAGACGCAGGGAGGAGACTAGGGGGAGGGACAGGAACTGGGAGTAGGGGCTGCTGCGACGGCGGCCGCTGCGGCTGCTGCTGCTGCTGGTGCTGCTGCTGCTGCCGCTGCTGCTGCTGCTGCTGCTGCTGCCGCTGCTGCTGCCGCTGCTGCTGCTGCTGCTGCTGCGTCCGCTGCCGTGCGCGCGGGCCAGTGTGAAGAGTGTAGAGACCGGAACCCGGCTCAGCAGCAAAGGTGGCCAGAGGCTGGTAAGAGTCACCGTCAACACACACCGCAGTCTCCCCAGAAGGCTCAAACCACACACCCACGTGCTGACTCACGAGGGGTCGCACACCCACCAAGTTCCGGGAGAACGAGGGGACATGAAACCCAGTGAGGGACCCGGAGGGAGCAGCAGGACACGGCAAAGTGGTAGTGTGACGCGCAGTGACTGGTCCCGAGGTGGGATCAGCCAGTGCCACAGAGACAGGCGCAGGAAGTGGCGTAAGTGTCGTGCTGTCACGAAAGAAGCAGTGCGAGGCTCCAGAGTCCAGCGTGAAAGACAGTGAAGTGTCCTCCGAGGTAGCCGCTGGACTAGTGTCTACACAAGAACCTACACTAGCAACAGGCAACTGAGCAAGGCTAGTACCTAAGCTAACAACACCAGAGTAAACAGAGTCAGAAACACTAGAGTCAACATAGCATGAGGAGTTCCAATCAGATCAGCTAACTGCTCAGCAGACATGTCCCACAGAGCGGAACCGTAACGCTGAACAAGGGGAAACCAGTCAGGGGCAGGACCGCCAACCCCGTAAACCAAACGAACCGTGTCAGTGAGCTGAGCAAAACACTGACCAGGGGGGTGAAGGCGGCCACAAGGGTGGCCCCGGCGAGCACCTGTCAGAACCTGATAGGCGCAGGGAGGGTAAACAGCACCACGCTGCGGCTGACGCGGCCCCGACCCCGAAGCCAGCTGCGGCCGCTGCTGCTGCGGAGGCTGCTGGGAGGAGAGGGGCTGCTGCTGCTGCTGAAGCTGCTGCTGACGCTGGGCCCGGTACCACGCCGCTGCTCCACCCACCGGGGCTGGCAGTACAGGGGGCGACTGACGAACGCGGGCGTCGCCACCACCAGCAGTCGCAGTGGAGTCACCGGTCGCTGCACGAGACGTCTCTCCAGGCCCTGCACTCCCACCACCGCCAGTCGCAACGCCACCCCCACTACCTCCGCCTCCACCAACGCCGCCGCCAGCACCGCCCCTCTTGCCACCCCTACCGCGGGACCGCGACGAAGTCGTAACAGCAGCTGCGGTCGCGTCAGTAGCGGCAGTGGCGAGAGAGGCAGTAAAGGTGGGCAACTGCGGAACTGTGCACCCGTGGAAGAGCGGAGGGGGCACAGCACCAGAGGCAGCGGCGACGGAGCGGAGGTTGCTCTCGACGTCCTTGAGAGCAGACTCAAGGACGTCAATAGTGAGCTCGCTAGGGTGCTTCAGGAGAAGCGCGTCACGAACGGAGGCAAGGCGGTCGGGGAGGCTGGTGGCGATAAAATAGATAGTAATCGCCATGGGAGGAGGAAGCAGTGCGAGCTGGGCCTCAGTGCAAGCAGCGCGGTAACTAGAGTCGAGCGAGCGGAGGTGAGCAATCAAGTCAGCAGAGCGCTCAAATGAGGCGAGATCAGGGAACAGGAACGGGAGGAAAAGGCGGCCAAGAGAGACAGCAGCAGGAGTGGAGTAGCGGGCCTTAATCGCAGTCAGGTACTCAGCAGCAGTGCGAACCTGAGCAAAGTGAGCCTCCTCAGACTCAGGGAGAAGGGTGCTGAGCGCGATGCAGGCCGCAGCGTCACGCGACGTCCAAGCTGTCAGGTCAGCGCGCTGGCTAGCGAAGCGAGCTCTAGCGGCGTCGTCAGGGGCAGGACCTAAAGGCGTAGGGTCGGGGGGCGCAGGGAGGGCACCAGCAGCGTGCGCCCAGAGGGTCTCGCCTGACTGGACCTGACTCTCTAACTGACGGCGAGCGCGCAGAAGCCAGAGCGAAAAGTCAAGGGGTCTACCGTCAGCGTCGAAGCGAAGAACACGCGGAGTCGCCATCGTTAAAACCGACGGAAAAGCGGAGGCAGGAAACCCTAAACGAGATGGCGTGGCGAAAATCGGGCGGGCAAAGGGCGAAGCGGGAAACCCTTAACGAGGCAGAGGCGCAGCTAAACGGGGGGGCGTTAAGGGGCAGCCGCACGGGGGCTAAGGGCAGCGGCGCGGGCGCGGGGGCGGGCGTTAAGGGGCAGCCGCGCGGGGGCTAAGGGCAGCCGCGCGGGCGCGGGGGGCGGGCGTTAAGGGGGAGCCGCGCGGGGGCGAAGGGCAGTCGCGCGCGCGACGCGACGAGCAGCGAAGGCGGGCGCCGCGGCGACGGGCGCAGGCTGCGGCGGGCGACGGGGGAAGGCGCAGCGGTGGCGCGCGTAAGGGGGGGACGGTCGACGGGACGACGGGCGGGGAGAGCTCGATTCGACGGCTAGTAGGGGGGGAAACGCGACTCGACGGGCAGCGGGGGGAAAAACGCGACTCGACGGGCAGCGGGGGGGAAAAAAAAAAACGCGACTCGACGGGCCTCGGAGGGGGGAAAACGCGACGGGCCAGCAGGGGGGAGGAAGGTCGCTACGCTACTCGAGTAGGGGATCGGCGGAACGGGCGGTAACGAAGGAACGGGACGAGAGCGGGCCGGCGCTAGGCTCGGGCAAGACGTGCGTAAGTAATACGAGAGAGGGAGACAGGCTCGGGCGATACGAACGAGGTCGGGAGGAACGGGATCCTACAGGATCCTAACCTAGGTGATACCATGTTAAAATCGGAAGTGTTGTTTCATTGATGGTGGTTGGGGTACAAGTAGCAAACCCTAACATACGTACCCCCTAAGACACATCTCACTACAGGCTACCAACATTTGACAATAATAGTGCTGGCGAACAGCCCCAATAAGTTTTGATGCTTATCTAACACCAGCCTAAAACATGTGTTTTAAGTGAACAAAATGAATAAAAAAATATGCAACAAACCGTATAACGTTGGCGAGCACAGGAGAGCAACAAAATGTACATTATTACCCCTATCATGGAGCCAAGTAGTACTCAATTCTTAGACTTGCCCAGCCCATGAGTGATATCGGAACACCCATCTGACCAGCAACCCCATCCCGTCATCATTAGCTGCGGGTGCGGACGCCCTAAACCATGCTGCGGGTTACTGGGCGGGAACAATGGCACTTGAACGAGCTATACGTGCCCTTCTTGGGTCTCTGAGTCTCTGGCTCCGGCAGCTGGACGTTCCTGAGGTGCCTGAAGCTGCTACGCAAGTGGGTTGCTGGGCGGGAACCACGTGCAGTTCCAGTAATACTTAAAGTTACTGTACGTGCACTTGCGGGGGCTCTGGCTCCAGCAGCTGGAGGGCGCCAGGCACGTGCTAGTGGTGCAGGGCACACGGGAGCAGCACATGCACTGGCTGTAGCACGAGTCGTAGTTGGACTGCAGCTGAGTCGACGTGCCGCCCAGCGTGTTGCTGGACGCGCGGCACACGTTGTCACACACCGTCTGCTCCACGTTGCAGCACTTGCCTGCCGTGTCCCCCTGGAGGGTGGTGCAGTCGCTGTCGAGCGGCTTCCATGTGGGGTAAGGACACGTGCTCCACGCACACCCGTACCCTGCAGCTGGGGCCAGGCCAGTGCGGCCGGTGCAGGCGGCGTTGCAGCCGGAGCAGACGTCGTTCTGAATGATGGGCAGAGCGTAGTTGCAGAGCGCGTCGCAGTACGACGGGTACGTGACGTAGTCCGCGCCGCACACCGGGAGAGACTGCGCACAGCCGCAGTCGAGGATCCCCACGCGCGCATCACAGGGGATGATGAGCTGGGAGCTGGCCACCAGAGTGCAGGTTTCGAGAATGTTGTTGGCTGCGGCGATGGAGGCCGGGGAGACGGAGGAGGTGGTGCAGCGCGTGATGAACTTGGAGGAGATGAGAGCGAGGGTGTCGCCGGATTGCACGGTGTACAGCGAGTACGAGGTGTTGGATGCGGTGAGGAGCGATGCGAGGAGAGGGGAGTTGATGCAGACCTTTTGGCCCACTTGGAGGTAGGGGGCTTGGCACTGTAACAAGGATGGGGTGTAGGGCATGGGGGAGATAGACGATGAGTGGCTGAACATGTGGGAGGAACGCCGGATGGATGAAGGACAACACATGAGGAGCAACAGAGCAGCGTTTGGAGGTGTTGAGAGAGGGAGAGTCCAATCAGAGGGTGGATGAAGGAGCAACGACTTGTGTTGCATGAGGTTGAAGCTTCAGAAAGCCCGAACTGGTGCCTTACCCTGATTCCAGGGTTGATAGCAAGGAAGGTGGACTCGGTGAGGTTGGCAGCGTTCCAGATGTTGGGGCAGTTGTCACCCTGCAGCACCGTGTACCACGCCGTGCAGTTCACTGTGGTCTGGAGGGGGGGAGGGGGGAAGGACAGAGTGCAGCAAGAAGGGGCGAGGCAGTGAGACAGCAGCCCTGCAGAGCCGAGTACCACCCCGTGCAGTTCACTGCCGTCTGCAGGAGGACGGGAGAGAGAGAGAGAGAGTGCAGCGACATGGAACGAGGCAGTGAGACAACAACCATGGCTTGCAGAGACAGGCATCACGCAAGAGACAAGGGAAGGGCATATACTTCAAGCATTGCAAAAGAAACGCCAGTAAAGCATGGCACAGTAAAGCATGGCACAGTAAAGCATGGCACAGTAAAGCGTGGCACAGTAAAGCATGGCACAGTAAAGCGTGGCACAGTAAAGAATGGCACAAGAGACTAGGGGCGAAGAAAAGGGATGAACCCACGAACTCTGGTAAAGCATGAAACTTTCAAGTCGTCTCAAAGTCTTCCCGCAACGCACCTGGGTGCTCTTGGGGGCGACGCAGACGTACGTCCCCACGGGGATGGCAGTGGTGCACGAGAGCGCGCTGTTGAGCCCCATGAACGTGCCCAGGCTGACGCCGTACTTGGACGCCACTGACGGGCACGTGTCGCCTGCTACTGTGATGTATGTCTGCCCGCACTGCGGCACTGCCACGGCTGCCAGCGAGGAGAAGGAGCTGATGGCCGTGCAGATGATCTGCGGGGGGTGGAGTGGAGGGCGACACAGCGAGCCGTGCTGCATGTTAGCGAACTGGCGCTTCTCGGGGAGTACGAACAGAGAAACAAGAGAAAACGATTTAGGAAAAGACATGTTCAGCAGCGGCGAGAGCGTGTGTGCTCGTGGCTCATGGCGCTCACAGCAGCAGTTGAGGAGTCTCAGAAGGGTTAAGTCACCTGTGAAGGGTAGAGGAAGGAGCGTGACGTGGTGCATGTGAGCGGGTTGGCGGTGCGCAGTGCTGATAAGCTCCCCGAGAAGAAGGTGTTTGCGAGGGACGTGCAGGTGTCGCTGGGTTGCACGGTGTACGTTGCGGTGCAGAGCGGTGCCGAGGGGGATATGGAGGTGGAGGAGGCGTTTGCGACGGTGAGGATGAGCGTGGGGGGGAGGTAGGCGAGGGAGCAGTTTAGGAAGGGGTTGAGAGCGGTGAGAGCTGCAGTGGTGAGGCCGAAGGCGGCAGCAACGGAGGAGCAGGTGTCGCCAGGCACTGTGGGGTAGGCCAGGAACGAGGCTGTCCCGCCCGCCACTCCCACGCACGTCTGCGTGCCGTCCGATGCCGCTCCTATGGCGTAGCCCTGCTGGGCGGAAGGGAAGAGGAAGGGAAAGAGGGGGGACGAGACGGGGTGAGAGGAGAGCGGAAGCACAGGTGGGGTATGGGGAGGAGGAGGGGCGTGGGAAGGAAACGATGAAGAAGGAAGAAAGTCATCTGTAGGCAAGTAGAATCAGCCGTAACACTTGTGAGAAGGCACTGGCAGGCGCACTCACGGCGGGGCACTGGCAGGAGTAGGTGCCGTCGCCGGGGTTAACGCACGTGCCGCTGCCGCAGGGGTTGTACTGCCCGCGGCTGGTGCAGGGGTAGCGCGGCACGCACTTGCTCGTGGGCACGCCCGTGACCTCCACCATCCCCGCCAGCGCGCTGCAGTCGCACCGCGCGATGCCCGCGCGCGTGTAGCAGCGCCCCGCGCCGCACGGGTTGATCCCCGCGCACGCGTCCAAAGCGATGTTGTACGCGCGCGTCCACCAGCGGCCGTCGTTACCGTCGTCCGCGCGCGAAATCGGACCGTTGTTCATCTTCACGGGCTGCGGCCCGCTCGGGTAGTACACCGGGTACATGGCGGGGATGCTGCGCGGAAACGGGATGCGGGGAGAGAGGAGGCGTGCAGGGGGAAAGGAGTGAAGCGACGGTGGAACGGAATCGGGAGGGGAGGGCGGACTGAGGAGAGGATCCTTCACGGATCTGATCAAACAAGGAAGACGAAGCGCTTACGCGTGGATGCCGCATTTCCCGCGCACGTCGGGCGACATGGCGAGGTACATAAAGCCGGCGTCGCCCCACGTGTTGAACCACGTGTTCTTGAGGATCCAATAGCTGCCCGTGAGGTTGGGCCCCGTGTAGTTGTAGCCAACCACGATCATCGCGTGATTGATGTCCGTCGAGCACAGCCCGTCGTAAATTTTCAGCTGCCCGCGCGAGTTGTACTGCTGAAAGTCCTGCGCCGAGCCGCTAAGGAAGGCGACGACTGGCTGCATGCTGACCGCCTTCATCAGCGCGAGCGCGTTGTACGGCGGCACCAGCTCCCACCCCGTGATCTGCGGCGGGAGGGACGCACGCGGAGTCAGAAAGAGAGGAAAGGTATGAGTCGAGAGAAAGACACGCGCGGAGCGGCGCGATGCATTGGGAAGAGGCTAGATCAAGCTGCGACAGGCGATATGAGGAACATGAAAGCGAGAACGGGACTTTGGAAAAGGGAAGGAACTGGTCCGTGGGGTGGGGGTTACCTGAGCAGTGGTTGGTGTGAGCGAGTTAGCCAGGCACACTGAACTATCGTTCGCCATGTAGGGGTAGTTATCCACAGAAGTGATGCCGCCATTAAAGAGTACATACGAAAAGGCCCAGTCGGGCCAGCCGCCCTGGCAGCACTGCTTCGTCGCGCAGTCGCACACCTGCCAGAGTCGCGGAACGGAACACTCGAACTTGGTATAAATACAGTAACTTATACAAAAATATATGCTTACGCGAAAGCTATGTTGAGAGTTTGGGGAGAATTGATGAGGGAAAGGCAGGCTTCCAAGAATCACAGCACTGCAGTTTCACGCACTTGTTGCGGGGAAAGGACGGCTGGGAGAGAGTTGGTGTTGATCGCCCACATCATGGAGATAGAATCAACGGCTGTAATCGCCCAGCAACTAGCGCACTGCCATGTGAAGGAATGGGAAAAAGAAAAAATAAACAAGAATATTGTTAACGTTTGACGACATGGATTGCCTGCAGAAGACGAGTGTTGCGTTGAGCTAGAAAATATCCCATCTCTTTTTCACCTCCACCTTCCGCCTCCGTGGGCGGCAGTTCAGGGCGCGGCGGCATTACCAGGTACTGGCGTTGGATGGGCGAGATGTACATCGTCTGGCGCCAGTCCACCACCGCGTTCGGCGTGACGGAATCGAAACGGAAAAACGTGTTGTTGACGTCAGCCATGCTGGGCCCTGAGTTGAGCGGCGGGGGATTCAGCCCGAACTGCTTCTTCGGCGCGTATTTCAAAACTCGACGAGAGCCGTTTTCTTCGCCAATGTCGTCATTCTCGCCATCGTCGTCAGGCACCAAGTCCCTGAGCCTCGCTGCTCTGTATATCTCCTTGAGTTTCGGGCTTAACTGTAGGGTTTCGGTCAATGCCTGCTCGTAGCGCGTTGCGAAGCTGTTGCTTGGTAACGACTGCGACGCGGCGATGGCGATGGCGAGGGACAGGCCGCATGCGAGAACCGTGAGGACGACGAGAGGCGAACCTCTCCTGCACGAGCGTGCGATACCCATTAAAATGCTAAGGATACTATTAGGTAAGCGCGCGAGATGCTGCTGCCGTGAAAAGACTGCGAGCACCAAAGGTCTGTAGGGTTGTAGAATGGGGAGCAAAAGGTTTCAGGTGCGGCTCAGTTCAAGAAAGATGAGTCGCTTGAGGCTTTCATGAAGAAACCTCTCATCGCCGAAGCTTAGAAGCTTGTGCTCGCGACAGGACATTTGCGCCTCATCCTGCGGATGCGGGTGTTTCGAGTTGGGCTCGGAGGTGCGTCCAAGGGATGCGAGCGTGCAAGCTACTACAGCGGTAGGTGAAGCGTGGGACCTTGCAGGTGCTGCTGTGGGGACAATGTCCCATCCATCACATGAGCACATTTCGGGCAGATGCGGCTCGGAGGCTAACTAAATTCGTTGGGCTGTTTCGCCAGAATCTCTCTACAGCACTGTAACCAGCAGCGATGCCAGTTGCCAAGCGTCAAGGCCTATGTCGAGGATGAGCCGCGACAAGGAGCAGCAGAGGGGATTGCCTGTAATAACACAGCCCTGATGTCAGCTCCTAGCTGTCAAGGGGGCCAACCAGAGGAGACCAACTAAAGAAATCGACAGAACCTGTCTCCTTTGGGTCGCCAAGGGGCGCACGTTGCGCCATTGTGTTCTTTTGTCGGTTGGTTGGTAGTTTCCTCTCCCCACATATTCATTAGGTGGTGTGGTGTTGTTGCGTCGGTGTGTAGGGTGTTGCGTCTGTACGCGCCTGTCGTGCTAGCCCGTTACGTGTACAACCTTAAACTCATATAACAAGTCAGTTGTTTCCTGGAAGATATTATCTTCATACTTTGTTACCACTTTATGAGGATTGCTCACCAACCATGCAGTCCACTTTTGAGCTGGCAATTTGCATAACAGATTCAGTACCACGTGATAGTATCACATTTCTTTTATTTTCCAAATGATGTAGAAGTTACTCCCCTTCAACCCCAGTCACAGGTTGTCCCACATGTTGACTCCCCTATCCCTAGCTAGGATGGGTGAAGTGAGAATAGGAATATTGTACAAAGACCTTCAACGAATGTTGTATCGCAAGCTGGGAAAACAGGGTAAAACAGGTGAAATCCCTTCCTGCCCCAATGCAGAAAGGGGAAAACGCTGTACAATTTGGGGCATGCGACGCAGTCCTCTGTACCGCACTGCACCCTCCAGCACACCACCACCGAGCACATCAGCCACCATGCATCGCCGGGTACCACAAGGACACACACCTCTGCCCTCCGTAGCCAATCACAGCAGCAGCAATCCAGCCAATCACCGGCACAGCAAGCAACCCGCAGCCAATCAGAGCTCGAGCACAACGCAGCTGACGACAACATCAGAGGGACACCCGACACCGTCAATGCGACGAGTGAGCAGCACCCCGTCGCACCGCAGCGCCTCCTCCACCTCCACCACCACCATTGACAACCCCCGCCCTATCACGTACAGCCGCCCACGAAACCCTAATATCCGGCATGGCGGCGTCAGCAGCGCCGGGGACAGCCGGCCAATCGGGCGCCACATCTGCGCCACGTCATCGTACACGGCCAATCGGATGCCTCCGATCTGATCCAGCATGTACATCCGACCGTCGAGAACCGTGGAAGGGCCGTGCCAGGCGGAGGGAAGGTTCCCGGAAAGTGGGGACCAGGAGTTGGAGGAGAGGGAGAAGGCGACGGCGTCAGGGCCGGGAGGGGAGTGCACGCAGCGCATGTGACGCAGCAGCAGTCGGTTGGCTAACACTGCTGCATCCTCTAAGTCGCACTCGAAGGGTAGGGGGGCAGCACTGGTCCACCTGGGGAAGGGGGAGGGCACAGGAGGTACCGAAGAATACATATGACAAGAGGGAGAAGAATACAGAAGAGGAGGGTCAAGTGGAGGACGAGAAGGAGGGTGGGATGGAGGGCGATACATGGCAATGCATATGGTACAATAGCAGGTGGGTGGGATGTGCATGTGGTACAATAGCAGGTGGGTGGGATGTGCATGTGGTACAATAGCAGGTGGGTGGGATGTGCATGTGGTACAATAGCAGGTGGGTGGGATGTGCATGTGATACAATAGCAGGTGGGTGGGATGTGCATATGGTACAATAGCAGGTGCGGCCACTGAATGACACAGTGCCTACTGTACCCCCCGACTTCCCTCCTCACAGCACGCACCTATCCTCCTGCGGGTGGTAAACTTCTACGGACGTCAGCAGTGACGTGTTGCTGGCCCCCATGCCGCCCGCCACCACCAGCCTCTCACTCGCCCACGCCCCTCCCTGCTGATGTGTTGCCCACGCCCCTGCCGCCCCACACACCCGCACCTCCCTGCTGCTCCCTCCCTCTGCCCCTCTCAACTTCTCGACTCTCGGTTCCCTGCTGTTCCCCCCCTCCTTCCCTCCACTGCTCGACTCACCCCCTCTTGCTGTCTCCCCAACCCTTTCACTTTCCTCCACTCTGCTCCTCTCGCCCTCCCTTTCAACCCCACCAACACTTTCTCCCTCTCTCGCTCCCCCACCATCCTGTATTCTCCCCCTTCCCCTCTCCCTTTCCCTCTCCCTCTCAATGCCCCTTTCCCTCGCCCTCTCCCACCCGCCATCCCCCAGTCTGTCTCCCGCCTGCGTCCCCCCGTTCCCCCCTTCTCTGAGCCACGCAGTGCCCTGCTCCCCGCCCTTGCCATCCCTCTCAAGGCGCACGGCACCGGCCATGCAGTAGCAGCGGGGGAACGCCATGTCCGCCACTCGCACCCACTTGTTGGCGGGCGGGTTGTACCTGGGGAGGGGGAGAGGGCGGTGTGAGAGGGGGAATGGTCCCACAGATACAGCACGGGGGAAGAGGAGCAAGAAGAGCGTTTTAACGGCACCGGGGAAGGCCTCCGCCACTCGTACCCACTTGTTGGCGGGGGGGTTGTACCTGGGGGAGGGGAGCGGGAGGAGGAGAGAGAGATGGGTAATGCGCACAGCGATACAGTACTTGAGTTGGAAGGAACATGCATTTTCAGTAGCTGCGGGGGAGCCCCATGTCTGCCACGCGCACCCACTTGTTGGCAGGCGGGTTGTACCTGGGGGCATGGGGAAAGGGGAAGAGAACGAGGGCACACGCCCTGAGAGACCCACGCCACGCCCTCCCACGCCCGCTCACCCGTAACTTGTGCTGTCTTGGAGGCTGCACCCACCTGTACTGTACACGTGTGGGCGGCTGGGCTTGAGCCAACCCGCGCTGCCAATGAAGCAGAAGATGCCTGGCAGGCAGCGCAGGCGAGGCTGTGAACACAAAATGCGGCCCAGACAGACACCCACGAACTCAGAGACCCACACGCTTCCACACACTCACCTGCCCACATGTAACCCACTCTTGATGGCTGCAGCACACACCCTGCCCCACCAGCCGCACAGAGGCTGCTGGGCGGACAATCGTAACCATACCCCCCTGCCCCCCTTCCCATTCTCACCTGTACACGTGCGGCAGCTGGATTTGAGCCACCCTGCGCTGCCAATGACATCGAGGTTGCCCCGGCAGGCAGCGCAGGCGAGTCCGCAGGCGCGCGAGCAGAGGGAGACCCACGGCCTCATGCCACAGGGAACAAATAAAACCCCTCCGCCCCATCCCTACCTGTACACATGGGAACGGCTGGGCTTGAGCCACCCTGCACCACCGATGACATAGAGGTTGCCCTGGCAGGCAGCGCAGGCGGCTCTCCCATCCCCCCACCATTACCCCCCCGCCCTCTCCCTCCCCCCCCCCCCCCCCCTCCCTCTCACCTGTACACATGTGAACGGCTGGGCTTGAGCCAGCCTGCACCACCGATGACATAGAGGTTGCCCTGGCAGACGGCGCAGGCGAGGCCGTAGGCGCGGGAGCAGAGGGAGGGCATGCGGGGCACGTCATGCCACGTGGCAGAGCGCACGTCCAGCGCGTGCCACCACAGACGGTCCGAGCTGTCACGCGATAGCACGTACACCCACCCCTCCTGCACCCCCCTGTGCCGCCGCATCTCGTAGTACAGGGGCGACTGGGGGGAGGTGGAAGATGGGGGGAGGGAAGGGGACATAGCGGTTGGGTAAAACAAACACAGCACGTACACCCACCCCTCCTGCACGCCCCTGTGCCGCCTCATCTCGTAGTTCAGGGGGGACTGAAGGGGGGAAGCGGGAGGGGAAGAAGGCATCGCAGTTGGGGAAGAAATAGTACGTACAGCTAACCTTCCTGGTTCATGTCTTAGCACAGGGGGGACTGTGGAGGGAGGGAAAGGGGCGGGAAGGGAGATGAAGCAAGGGGGGAAAGCGAGGGCGAGGTGATGAGCATTGGGGCAAGAGGAAGCAGGGGGCATGGTGATGAGGTACGGCAGGAATACTCTCCCTGGGGAGTGTGGAGAGCATTGAATAAACGGCTGGCAGCACCTGAAGGTTGGCATCACGCGGACGAGGCGGCCTCACTTGAATGAGTTGGTTCCAGCGCCGTGAGACGCGGCGCATGGCGCGGTGCTCCTGGCGCGGCAGGCGCAGCAGGCACTCCGTCGCCAGGTCGTCCGGCAGCCCCGGAATCAGCGGCGCCGCCTCCGCGCCTCCTGCGACTCCCACCGCCGTCGCGTGGCCCGCGCGCGACGCGTCGCCTGCAACGCATGATAACCCCGCGTGCGATTCTGACGCGGGTGCTGATGCTGCACGGTTGCGCCGCGAACGGCGGGGAATGGTGGCGGATAGGGAAAGCGGCGGGAATGGTGAGGAACGAAGTGGTCGCACCTGTCGCACAGCATGCGAAGTGGCATAAAAACGAGTCGCATGGCATGTGTCGCACAAGAATCTCTGCAAATCATAACTGTCTGCTCTCCGTACGAATTTTAGAACCGGTTGCTCGGTATGGGCTTCCGGCAGCTTCCCAGCACCTCCTTAGTCAAATTATTCAGGAAGGAGTTCTTAACCACTCCCGTACCACCACTCCCGCCTCACCACTCCCGTACCACCATTCCCGCCTCACCATGGCTCGCATCTGTTCTCATCGGCGCGCTTCCACTAGATTCGCGCTCTCCGTGGACCTCCTGCGTCTCGTCCTCTGAGTTTGATGTGGCAACGGATGACGTGTCACTGGATGACGTGGCGGCGGGTGACGTGGAAACGACACGTGTATTCGACGCATGGTCGAACTGTTCTGCCGCGTCGACTGAGCTAATGGCACCCATCAAGCGAATTTCGCGGTTTTCAAAAGACGCGCATAGCCCAGTGGTCGCCGAGATTACGAGGAAGTATGTACACGAATCCCGCTTGAGCGAACCGCGAATCTAAGGATTCAGGCAGCGGAAACGTTAAAAAGTTCCACGTGTGACATGAGCAGAAGCAGGCGCGCTGCCTAAGTTAGTCAGTGCAGGACGGTCTTTCCAAATGCGACGAGATTAGCGACTTTTAGATTCACAGTAATTGGACGAGCGCAAGGGCGACGGGCGTGGAAGACGTAAAGTGGGGAAAGAATGTCACCCAGCCGAGGGGAGATTGCCCGCGGCAGCCATGGCTTGGAGGGAATCAGCTGATGGAGAAAAGATGCGTACGCGCTAAGATACAGCGTCTATTATGTGATGCACAGCTACTCGTTGTGCCTGCTAAAATCATTGTATAGATAGACATCGTTCTACACAAAGGAACACATTTTTAGTCCCTCCCTTTACACCAATACTTTCGCATTCATATAATTGTAGCTCAAGCCTCGTCATATCGAGTTGGGGCGCATATTATCGGGTCAGAGCCAGCCTCTCTCTTTTGCCACCATTCTCACTGGTCGTCACACATTCATCGCCGCACTCGGCTCGACTGCATTCAATCCCCAGTGTCGTTTAGTCGTGCGAACGTCCTGCGATCGTAGTGCACGCGACCCTTCCTATGTGATTCGCGAGCGTCGTTCACCTCGCGAATGGCTCGAATGGCTCCGGTGCGGCCACTACCGCCGTCCTCGTCCGCATCGCGCGCACATCCCTCACATTCTCGCCCAGTCGCCCGCTCTCATTCCCCATGTAGCCTCGCCGAAGCTTCCTGTCGCCAGCCTCTTGGTAGCTATCATAGACATGGAGCCGTTGTTCTGTCAGCGTTTCGTCGTACGCGTTATTGCCAGCCCCGTTTAAACGGAAACTCGCTACAAGGGGACATCAGCCTTGTGTCTTCCCTCCTTCGTGGCTACACAGGGATTGCCTGGAAATCCGCAGGCCTTGCTAATCGCGGTGCTAGTAACGGAAGGATCGCTGCTGCAAATCCTGATGGTCATTTCACCTCTGGCCCCACTAGAAGAACCTCCATACAGTCACACGGTGCCATATACCACGTTGATAACCATGACGGCCGTGGAAACACACCACACGCTCAAGAGGTCTCCAGTTCGATCCCTGTCGTTGCCACTGACGAAACGCCGCCGTCGTCCACATCAGTGCAAAGCCCTGCAACCAGCAAACTCCCTCCACTAGCTCAGCTTGTCTCATCCTCCGTCAAGCAGTCCGTGTGGGCGGCAGCGTTTGGCATCTTGCTGCTGGCGGGAGCTAGAGCAGCTGTAGCACAGACAGGTGACCACGTCAGCATGAACAGTAGTGGCAAGAAAGCCATCACAGTAGCTGCTTCTACTTTAAACGGAGCTGCTTTTAACGGGGACGTTAGCAGCAACGGCCTTGTGAGGAATGCGGCAGGCGGGGCAGGAAGGAAGGCGGTTGGCAGCGAGCGAGAAAAGGCAGAGGGAGCGGTGAGGAGAGGAGAGGAAGGCGAGAAGGGGGAAGTGAGAGAGGGACAGGGTGGGGGAGAGGAGGGGAAAGAGGAGGAAGAGGAGAGGGAAGGAGCGGAGGAGGATGCGGAGATGGCCAGGGCGTACAGTCGGTGGGTGGAGAAACCAGCGAGCCTGAGCGTGCCTCTCAGGGTGGTGGCGCTCAGAGGCACGGTGGCGAGCATGTGGCGCAAGGTGAGAGGCACGTGGCGCAAGGTGAGAGGCATGTGGCGCAAGGTGAGAGGCACGTGGCGCAAGGTGAGAGGCATGTGGCGCAAGGTGAGAGGCACGTGGCGCAAGGTGAGAGGCATGTGGCGCAAGGTGAGAGGCATGTGGCGCAAGGTGAGAGGCATGTGGCGCAAGGTGAGAGGCACGTGGCGCAAGGTGAGAGGCACGTGGCGCAAGGTGAGAGGCATGTGGCGCAAGGTGAGAGGCACGTGGCGCAAGGTGAGAGGCACGTGGCGCAAGGTGAGAGGCACGTGGCGCAAGGTGAGAGGCACGTGGCGCAAGGTGAGAGGCATGTGGCGCAAGGTGAGAGGCATGTGGCGCAAGGTGAGAGGCACGTGGCGCAAGGTGAGAGGCATGTGGCGCAAGGTGAGAGGCATGTGGCGCAAGGTGAGAGGCATGTGGCGCAAGGTGAGAGGCATGTGGCGCAAGGTGAGAGGCATGTGGCGCAAGGTGAGAGGCATGTGGCGCAAGGTGAGAGGCATGTGGCGCAAGGTGAGAGGCATGTGGCGCAAGGTGAGAGGCACGTGGCGCAAGGTGAGAGGCATGTGGCGCAAGGTGAGAGGCACGTGGCGCAAGGTGAGAGGCATGTGGCGCAAGGTGAGAGGCATGTGGCGCAAGGTGAGAGGCATGTGGCGCAAGGTGAGAGGCACGTGGCGCAAGGTGAGAGGCACGTGGCGCAAGGTGAGAGGCATGTGGCGCAAGGTGAGAGGCACGTGGCGCAAGGTGAGAGGCACGTGGCGCAAGGTGAGAGGCACGTGGCGCAAGGTGAGAGGCACGTGGCGCAAGGTGAGAGGCATGTGGCGCAAGGTGAGAGGCATGTGGCGCAAGGTGAGAGGCACGTGGCGCAAGGTGAGAGGCATGTGGCGCAAGGTGAGAGGCATGTGGCGCAAGGTGAGAGGCATGTGGCGCAAGGTGAGAGGCATGTGGCGCAAGGTGAGAGGCATGTGGCGCAAGGTGAGAGGCATGTGGCGCAAGGTGAGAGGCATGTGGCGCAAGGTGAGAGGCATGTGGCGCAAGGTGAGAGGCATGTGGCGCAAGGTGAGAGGCATGTGGCGCAAGGTGAGAGGCATGTGGCGCAAGGTGAGAGGCATGTGGCGCAAGGTGAGAGGCATGTGGCGCAAGGTGAGAGGCATGTGGCGCAAGGTGAGAGGCATGTGGCGCAAGGTGAGAGGCATGTGGCGCAAGGTGAGAGGCATGTGGCGCAAGGTGAGAGGCATGTGGCGCAAGGTGAGAGGCATGTGGCGCAAGGTGAGAGGCATGTGGCGCAAGGTGAGAGGCATGTGGCGCAAGGTGAGAGGCATGTGGCGCAAGGTGAGAGGCATGTGGCGCAAGGTGAGAGGCATGTGGCGCAAGGTGAGAGGCATGTGGCGCAAGGTGAGAGGCATGTGGCGCAAGGTGAGAGGCACGTGGCGCAAGGTGAGAGGCATGTGGCGCAAGGTGAGAGGCACGTGGCGCAAGGTGAGAGGCACGTGGCGCAAGGTGAGAGGCATGTGGCGCAAGGTGAGAGGCACGTGGCGCAAGGTGAGAGGCACGTGGCGCAAGGTGAGAGGCACGTGGCGCAAGGTGAGAGGCATGTGGCGCAAGGTGAGAGGCACGTGGCGCAAGGTGAGAGGCATGTGGCGCAAGGTGAGAGGCATGTGGCGCAAGGTGAGAGGCACGTGGCGCAAGGTGAGAGGCACGTGGCGCAAGGTGAGAGGCATGTGGCGCAAGGTGAGAGGCACGTGGCGCAAGGTGAGAGGCATGTGGCGCAAGGTGAGAGGCATGTGGCGCAAGGTGAGAGGCATGTGGCGCAAGGTGAGAGGCACGTGGCGCAAGGTGAGAGGCACGTGGCGCAAGGTGAGAGGCATGTGGCGCAAGGTGAGAGGCACGTGGCGCAAGGTGAGAGGCACGTGGCGCAAGGTGAGAGGCATGTGGCGCAAGGTGAGAGGCACGTGGCGCAAGGTGAGAGGCATGTGGCGCAAGGTGAGAGCCATGTGGCGCAAGGTGAGAGGCATGTGGCGCAAGGTGAGAGGCATGTGGCGCAAGGTGAGAGGCATGTGGCGCAAGGTGAGAGGCATGTGGCGCAAGGTGAGAGGCACGTGGCGCAAGGTGAGAGGCACGTGGCGCAAGGTGAGAGGCACGTGGCGCAAGGTGAGAGGCACGTGGCGCAAGGTGAGAGGCATGTGGCGCAAGGTGAGAGGCACGTGGCGCAAGGTGAGAGGCACGTGGCGCAAGGTGAGAGGCATGTGGCGCAAGGTGAGAGGCACGTGGCGCAAGGTGAGAGGCATGTGGCGCAAGGTGAGAGGCACGTGGCGCAAGGTGAGAGGCACGTGGCGCAAGGTGAGAGGCATGTGGCGCAAGGTGAGAGGCACGTGGCGCAAGGTGAGAGGCACGTGGCGCAAGGTGAGAGGCATGTGGCGCAAGGTGAGAGGCATGTGGCGCAAGGTGAGAGGCATGTGGCGCAAGGTGAGAGGCATGTGGCGCAAGGTGAGAGGCATGTGGCGCAAGGTGAGAGGCATGTGGCGCAAGGTGAGAGGCATGTGGCGCAAGGTGAGAGGCATGTGGCGCAAGGTGAGAGGCATGTGGCGCAAGGTGAGAGGCATGTGGCGCAAGGTGAGAGGCATGTGGCGCAAGGTGAGAGGCATGTGGCGCAAGGTGAGAGGCATGTGGCGCAAGGTGAGAGGCATGTGGCGCAAGGTGAGAGGCATGTGGCGCAAGGTGAGAGGCATGTGGCGCAAGGTGAGAGGCATGTGGCGCAAGGTGAGAGGCATGTGGCGCAAGGTGAGAGGCATGTGGCGCAAGGTGAGAGGCATGTGGCGCAAGGTGAGAGGCATGTGGCGCAAGGTGAGAGGCATGTGGCGCAAGGTGAGAGGCATGTGGCGCAAGGTGAGAGGCATGTGGCGCAAGGTGAGAGGCATGTGGCGCAAGGTGAGAGGCATGTGGCGCAAGGTGAGAGGCATGTGGCGCAAGGTGAGAGGCATGTGGCGCAAGGTGAGAGGCATGTGGCGCAAGGTGAGAGGCATGTGGCGCAAGGTGAGAGGCATGTGGCGCAAGGTGAGAGGCATGTGGCGCAAGGTGAGAGGCACGTGGCGCAAGGTGAGAGGCATGTGGCGCAAGGTGAGAGGCACGTGGCGCAAGGTGAGAGGCACGTGGCGCAAGGTGAGAGGCACGTGGCGCAAGGTGAGAGGCACGTGGCGCAAGGTGAGAGGCACGTGGCGCAAGGTGAGAGGCACGTGGCGCAAGGTGAGAGGCACGTGGCGCAAGGTGAGAGGCATGTGGCGCAAGGTGAGAGGCACGTGGCGCAAGGTGAGAGGCACGTGGCGCAAGGTGAGAGGCACGTGGCGCAAGGTGAGAGGCACGTGGCGCAAGGTGAGAGGCACGTGGCGCAAGGTGAGAGGCACGTGGCGCAAGGTGAGAGGCACGTGGCGCAAGGTGAGAGGCAGGTGGCGCAAGGTGAGAGGCACGTGGCGCAAGGTGAGAGGCACGTGGCGCAAGGTGAGAGGCACGTGGCGCAAGGTGAGAGGCATGTGGCGCAAGGTGAGAGGCATGTGGCGCAAGGTGAGAGGCATGTGGCGCAAGGTGAGAGGCATGTGGCGCAAGGTGAGAGGCATGTGGCGCAAGGTGAGAGGCATGTGGCGCAAGGTGAGAGGCATGTGGCGCAAGGTGAGAGGCATGTGGCGCAAGGTGAGAGGCATGTGGCGCAAGGTGAGAGGCATGTGGCGCAAGGTGAGAGGCATGTGGCGCAAGGTGAGAGGCATGTGGCGCAAGGTGAGAGGCATGTGGCGCAAGGTGAGAGGCATGTGGCGCAAGGTGAGAGGCATGTGGCGCAAGGTGAGAGGCATGTGGCGCAAGGTGAGAGGCATGTGGCGCAAGGTGAGAGGCATGTGGCGCAAGGTGAGAGGCATGTGGCGCAAGGTGAGAGGCATGTGGCGCAAGGTGAGAGGCATGTGGCGCAAGGTGAGAGGCATGTGGCGCAAGGTGAGAGGCATGTGGCGCAAGGTGAGAGGCATGTGGCGCAAGGTGAGAGGCATGTGGCGCAAGGTGAGAGGCATGTGGCGCAAGGTGAGAGGCATGTGGCGCAAGGTGAGAGGCATGTGGCGCAAGGTGAGAGGCATGTGGCGCAAGGTGAGAGGCATGTGGCGCAAGGTGAGAGGCATGTGGCGCAAGGTGAGAGGCATGTGGCGCAAGGTGAGAGGCATGTGGCGCAAGGTGAGAGGCATGTGGCGCAAGGTGAGAGGCATGTGGCGCAAGGTGAGAGGCACGTGGCGCAAGGTGAGAGGCATGTGGCGCAAGGTGAGAGGCACGTGGCGCAAGGTGAGAGGCACGTGGCGCAAGGTGAGAGGCACGTGGCGCAAGGTGAGAGGCACGTGGCGCAAGGTGAGAGGCATGTGGCGCAAGGTGAGAGGCATGTGGCGCAAGGTGAGAGGCATGTGGCGCAAGGTGAGAGGCATGTGGCGCAAGGTGAGAGGCATGTGGCGCAAGGTGAGAGGCATGTGGCGCAAGGTGAGAGGCATGTGGCGCAAGGTGAGAGGCACGTGGCGCAAGGTGAGAGGCATGTGGCGCAAGGTGAGAGGCATGTGGCGCAAGGTGAGAGGCATGTGGCGCAAGGTGAGAGGCATGTGGCGCAAGGTGAGAGGCATGTGGCGCAAGGTGAGAGGCATGTGGCGCAAGGTGAGAGGCATGTGGCGCAAGGTGAGAGGCATGTGGCGCAAGGTGAGAGGCATGTGGCGCAAGGTGAGAGGCATGTGGCGCAAGGTGAGAGGCATGTGGCGCAAGGTGAGAGGCATGTGGCGCAAGGTGAGAGGCATGTGGCGCAAGGTGAGAGGCATGTGGCGCAAGGTGAGAGGCATGTGGCGCAAGGTGAGAGGCATGTGGCGCAAGGTGAGAGGCATGTGGCGCAAGGTGAGAGGCATGTGGCGCAAGGTGAGAGGCATGTGGCGCAAGGTGAGAGGCATGTGGCGCAAGGTGAGAGGCATGTGGCGCAAGGTGAGAGGCATGTGGCGCAAGGTGAGAGGCATGTGGCGCAAGGTGAGAGGCATGTGGCGCAAGGTGAGAGGCATGTGGCGCAAGGTGAGAGGCATGTGGCGCAAGGTGAGAGGCATGTGGCGCAAGGTGAGAGGCATGTGGCGCAAGGTGAGAGGCATGTGGCGCAAGGTGAGAGGCATGTGGCGCAAGGTGAGAGGCATGTGGCGCAAGGTGAGAGGCATGTGGCGCAAGGTGAGAGGCATGTGGCGCAAGGTGAGAGGCATGTGGCGCAAGGTGAGAGGCATGTGGCGCAAGGTGAGAGGCATGTGGCGCAAGGTGAGAGGCACGTGGCGCAAGGTGAGAGGCATGTGGCGCAAGGTGAGAGGCACGTGGCGCAAGGTGAGAGGCACGTGGCGCAAGGTGAGAGGCATGTGGCGCAAGGTGAGAGGCACGTGGCGCAAGGTGAGAGGCATGTGGCGCAAGGTGAGAGGCATGTGGCGCAAGGTGAGAGGCATGTGGCGCAAGGTGAGAGGCATGTGGCGCAAGGTGAGAGGCATGTGGCGCAAGGTGAGAGGCATGTGGCGCAAGGTGAGAGGCATGTGGCGCAAGGTGAGAGGCACGTGGCGCAAGGTGAGAGGCATGTGGCGCAAGGTGAGAGGCATGTGGCGCAAGGTGAGAGGCATGTGGCGCAAGGTGAGAGGCACGTGGCGCAAGGTGAGAGGCACGTGGCGCAAGGTGAGAGGCATGTGGCGCAAGGTGAGAGGCACGTGGCGCAAGGTGAGAGGCACGTGGCGCAAGGTGAGAGGCACGTGGCGCAAGGTGAGAGGCACGTGGCGCAAGGTGAGAGGCACGTGGCGCAAGGTGAGAGGCATGTGGCGCAAGGTGAGAGGCATGTGGCGCAAGGTGAGAGGCATGTGGCGCAAGGTGAGAGGCATGTGGCGCAAGGTGAGAGGCATGTGGCGCAAGGTGAGAGGCATGTGGCGCAAGGTGAGAGGCATGTGGCGCAAGGTGAGAGGCATGTGGCGCAAGGTGAGAGGCATGTGGCGCAAGGTGAGAGGCATGTGGCGCAAGGTGAGAGGCATGTGGCGCAAGGTGAGAGGCATGTGGCGCAAGGTGAGAGGCATGTGGCGCAAGGTGAGAGGCATGTGGCGCAAGGTGAGAGGCATGTGGCGCAAGGTGAGAGGCATGTGGCGCAAGGTGAGAGGCATGTGGCGCAAGGTGAGAGGCATGTGGCGCAAGGTGAGAGGCATGTGGCGCAAGGTGAGAGGCATGTGGCGCAAGGTGAGAGGCATGTGGCGCAAGGTGAGAGGCATGTGGCGCAAGGTGAGAGGCATGTGGCGCAAGGTGAGAGGCATGTGGCGCAAGGTGAGAGGCATGTGGCGCAAGGTGAGAGGCATGTGGCGCAAGGTGAGAGGCATGTGGCGCAAGGTGAGAGGCATGTGGCGCAAGGTGAGAGGCATGTGGCGCAAGGTGAGAGGCATGTGGCGCAAGGTGAGAGGCATGTGGCGCAAGGTGAGAGGCATGTGGCGCAAGGTGAGAGGCATGTGGCGCAAGGTGAGAGGCATGTGGCGCAAGGTGAGAGGCATGTGGCGCAAGGTGAGAGGCATGTGGCGCAAGGTGAGAGGCATGTGGCGCAAGGTGAGAGGCATGTGGCGCAAGGTGAGAGGCATGTGGCGCAAGGTGAGAGGCATGTGGCGCAAGGTGAGAGGCATGTGGCGCAAGGTGAGAGGCATGTGGCGCAAGGTGAGAGGCATGTGGCGCAAGGTGAGAGGCATGTGGCGCAAGGTGAGAGGCATGTGGCGCAAGGTGAGAGGCATGTGGCGCAAGGTGAGAGGCATGTGGCGCAAGGTGAGAGGCATGTGGCGCAAGGTGAGAGGCATGTGGCGCAAGGTGAGAGGCATGTGGCGCAAGGTGAGAGGCATGTGGCGCAAGGTGAGAGGCATGTGGCGCAAGGTGAGAGGCATGTGGCGCAAGGTGAGAGGCATGTGGCGCAAGGTGAGAGGCATGTGGCGCAAGGTGAGAGGCATGTGGCGCAAGGTGAGAGGCATGTGGCGCAAGGTGAGAGGCATGTGGCGCAAGGTGAGAGGCATGTGGCGCAAGGTGAGAGGCATGTGGCGCAAGGTGAGAGGCACGTGGCGCAAGGTGAGAGGCACGTGGCGCAAGGTGAGAGGCACGTGGCGCAAGGTGAGAGGCACGTGGCGCAAGGTGAGAGGCACGTGGCGCAAGGTGAGAGGCACGTGGCGCAAGGTGAGAGGCACGTGGCGCAAGGTGAGAGGCACGTGGCGCAAGGTGAGAGGCACGTGGCGCAAGGTGAGAGGCACGTGGCGCAAGGTGAGAGGCACGTGGCGCAAGGTGAGAGGCACGTGGCGCAAGGTGAGAGGCATGTGGCGCAAGGTGAGAGGCATGTGGCGCAAGGTGAGAGGCATGTGGCGCAAGGTGAGAGGCATGTGGCGCAAGGTGAGAGGCATGTGGCGCAAGGTGAGAGGCATGTGGCGCAAGGTGAGAGGCATGTGGCGCAAGGTGAGAGGCATGTGGCGCAAGGTGAGAGGCATGTGGCGCAAGGTGAGAGGCATGTGGCGCAAGGTGAGAGGCATGTGGCGCAAGGTGAGAGGCATGTGGCGCAAGGTGAGAGGCATGTGGCGCAAGGTGAGAGGCATGTGGCGCAAGGTGAGAGGCATGTGGCGCAAGGTGAGAGGCATGTGGCGCAAGGTGAGAGGCATGTGGCGCAAGGTGAGAGGCATGTGGCGCAAGGTGAGAGGCATGTGGCGCAAGGTGAGAGGCATGTGGCGCAAGGTGAGAGGCATGTGGCGCAAGGTGAGAGGCATGTGGCGCAAGGTGAGAGGCATGTGGCGCAAGGTGAGAGGCATGTGGCGCAAGGTGAGAGGCATGTGGCGCAAGGTGAGAGGCATGTGGCGCAAGGTGAGAGGCATGTGGCGCAAGGTGAGAGGCATGTGGCGCAAGGTGAGAGGCATGTGGCGCAAGGTGAGAGGCATGTGGCGCAAGGTGAGAGGCATGTGGCGCAAGGTGAGAGGCATGTGGCGCAAGGTGAGAGGCATGTGGCGCAAGGTGAGAGGCATGTGGCGCAAGGTGAGAGGCATGTGGCGCAAGGTGAGAGGCATGTGGCGCAAGGTGAGAGGCATGTGGCGCAAGGTGAGAGGCATGTGGCGCAAGGTGAGAGGCATGTGGCGCAAGGTGAGAGGCATGTGGCGCAAGGTGAGAGGCATGTGGCGCAAGGTGAGAGGCATGTGGCGCAAGGTGAGAGGCATGTGGCGCAAGGTGAGAGGCATGTGGCGCAAGGTGAGAGGCATGTGGCGCAAGGTGAGAGGCATGTGGCGCAAGGTGAGAGGCATGTGGCGCAAGGTGAGAGGCATGTGGCGCAAGGTGAGAGGCATGTGGCGCAAGGTGAGAGGCATGTGGCGCAAGGTGAGAGGCATGTGGCGCAAGGTGAGAGGCATGTGGCGCAAGGTGAGAGGCATGTGGCGCAAGGTGAGAGGCATGTGGCGCAAGGTGAGAGGCATGTGGCGCAAGGTGAGAGGCATGTGGCGCAAGGTGAGAGGCATGTGGCGCAAGGTGAGAGGCATGTGGCGCATGTGGCGCAAGGTGAGAGGCATGTGGCGCAAGGTGAGAGCATGCCAAGGTGAGTAAGGTGATATGGTGCGCATGAGGCATGCCTGCCAATGAGGCAGCCTGAAACCAAGTGACTGTGAAACAAAGTGACTTTGAAACAAAGTGACTCTGAAACAAAGTGACTGTGAAACAAAGTGACTGTGAAACAGATTGCAGCGTGGCTATGTTCCTGGGCACTTACCCTCTTCCTCCTTCTCCTCCTCCTTTTCCGTGCCATCCCTCTCGCCCCTTCCTCACCCACTCCCATACGCGCACCTCCCTTTGCTTCTCCCCCTGGGCACCACACCAACCCCCTCACACCACACCATGCACCCGTCATGCGCGCCATCAGGACTTCCTGCTATCGCAGTCACCCCTGGCCAAGCTCACAGTGGACGCGCGCCCCTCCCACGCCGCCATCGCCTCCGACCTCCTCGAACCGCTCCCCACCACTGCCACACCCAATGCCCTCTCGCCCTCCGCCGCCCCCTCGCCTGCCCCCCCCACGGGTCAGAAGAAGGCCCGGGGGAAGAAGGGCGGCGCACAGCCCTCGCTGCGCTCCGCTGCCGCTGCTGACGTTGTCACTGTGGGGGACAGGTGAGGCGGCTTATAGAGGGCACGTGTAAGTCAGCTTATAGAGGGGACAGGTGGGGGGGGCTTATACAGAAAACAGGTGCGGGGGCTTGTAGAGGAGACGGGTCAGATGTTTTTGTAGAGCGGACAGGTGAGTAGGCGTGTAGAAGGGACACACGAGTGGGTTCGAAGTGGGCCACTTTCCTTGTCAGTACGTGCGTCCCCCCCTATGCACGAGCACCGGTCCCTTAGGTTCTGTTTACCACCTTGTCCATGCCTGTCTCTCTTTGCCTATCCGTTCGTCCTTTCACTCACAAATCCCGCACCTCCCCTCCCTTCCCCTCTCTTCCCCTCTCCCTGTCCTGCCCTACCTACCCTCCCCGGCCTCCCTTCCACCTCCCCCGTCCCCTCCTACCTCGTCCCCACCCCGTGGGGAGGTCAGGTGGCTCAAGGAGCTGATAGCGAGGGGAGCCCTGCTGCCTCTGGATGGCGTGGAGCGATCTGATTGGTTCAAAGCCCTCGGGCCCACGTGGCTGGTGAGTTCGTGCTGTGTGCTGCACCCAAGGGTGGCTGGGCGCCCATTCCCATCCCCATCCCCAATCCCATCCCCATCCCCATCCCCATCCCCATCCCCAATCCCATCCCCATCCCCATCCCCATCCCCATCCCCAATCCCATCCCCATCCCCATCCCCATCCCCATCCCCAATCCCATCCCCATCCCCATCCCCATCCCCATCCCCATCCCCATCCCCATCCCCATCCCCATCCCGATCCCGATCCCGATCCCGATCCCCATCCCCCCCATCCCCATCCCCATCCCCAATCCCATCCCCATCCCCATCCCCATCCCCATCCCCATCCCCAATCCCATCCCCATCCCCATCCCCATCCCCATCCCCATCCCCATCCCCAATCCCATCCCCATCCCCATCCCCATCCCCAATCAGCAGTAGGAATACCCTCTGTGCCGCCCATCCATTCCTTCCACCCTCGCTGCTTTTCTCTGCTTTCCATCCATGCTCTGCTCTGCTCTGCTCTGCTCTGCTCTGCTCTGCTGCATGCAGAGGCTGCTCGACCGCACCCCCTCGGGCCACCTAACCCTCCCAGAGCCGCCCACCACCACTGGCACCACCGCCACCACCACCAGCACCACCAGTGGCAGCAGGGAGGGCGGGGAGGGGGCGGTGAGGGGCAAGGTGTACGCAGTGCCGTACCGCATGGGGTACCTGGCAGTGGCGTGGCGGGCTGATAAACTGCAACAGAAAGGCGTCAAGCCCATCCAGGTACGCAGGAGGGAGGGGCTGTCAGCACATATCGTTTGAGGCACGAGAGGGAGAGAGAGAGCTTTGAGACATGTCAAAAGGCAGGAGAGAGCGGCGACTGAAATGTAATGGCGGACTTGTGGTTCTCAAGTCTCCGAGATGCCTAAATTCTCATGTGCCTGCCTGCCTGTGGCACCTCCGGGGGTGACTCCTCCTCTCTGTGTCGTCTCGACCATGGACCAAACTCGCCTCAGCATTCTCCTCCCACCCTCTCCTCTTCCTCATCTCCTCCCACCCCCTCACTCTCCTCTCCTCTCCTACCACCAAACCACCTCCCTCCTATTCCTTCAAACCCCTTCCATCCCGCCTCCGCACATCCCCCCCCCCATTCCTTCTCCATCCCCTCTTCATCCCTCTCCATCCCCTCTCCATCCTTCCCATCCCCAATCAGACGTGGAGTGACCTCTGGCAGCCGGCGCTGCGCGGACAGGTGGCAGTCATTGATTCGCCAAGAGAGCTGCTGGCTGTGACGATGAAGTGAGTCGAAAAGAGGCAATTTGGATGGAGAGTCGTGGGGGGACGAAGGGTTAGTGGAGTGGATGTTTGTGGCTAAAGGCTTTTGAGGCTCCTCAACAGTGGGAATGGAGAGTCATGGAGAGGGGAAGAGATAGAGGTGAAGGCATGCAATTTGCGCTGCTGATGCTCTTGGCACTTCCAGCCATGCGATTTTGAGGTGCCTCAGAAGTAGTCATGGGGAAGGGAAGAGGGAGGGAAAGAGGCAGTGGACGCATGCTGTCGGCGCTGCTGACACTCTCGCCCCTCACAGCCATGCGTTCTGCCTCCTCCTTTCCTCCTCCTCTCCTCTCCCCCTCCACCCTGCACAAGTCGCCAAAATCGCCCGTCAACACCCAGTAGCCGCCTCTGGACTCTTTGTTTTTGTCGGCGCATCAACAGTCGCTTCCCCCCTCCCCTCCTCCTCTTCCCCCCACCTTTCCACCCCCCTTGCGCAGGTCGCTAGGAGCGCCCTTCAATGCGCGCAGCCCGCTGGACTCGCATGTGCCAGGAGGCTTACCCGCTCTCAAGGCCAGTTGGCAAGCCCTCCTGCACCAGGTGCGCTGACATGGCATGCTGACATGGCATGCTGACATGGCATGCTGACTGGTGCTCCTGGCTCCCATATCACCAGGATCTGAAATGTAAAGTTCCAAGGTCGTCTCAAAACTGAGATGTAGAGTTACACGAGTAACACACTTAATGTGCTTCTGACCTGTTCCTGCCTGGCGATGGTTACACGTTCTGCCGCATACCGCCCTCCCACCGCCCCTCAGATCCACGTGTGTGACCGGGGCAAGCAACTACCTCGCGCCACTTCACCGCCTCCTTTCCCCTCAGCTGTCGTCGTGTGCTTTCCCACTCCTCCCCTCAAGGCTCTGCAGGCATCTCCTTTTCCTCTCAGCTCCTTCCCTTCCCCTCTCCGCTCCTTCTCTCCTGTTCCCCACCTCCTCTCAGATCCGTGTGTGTGACAGCAGCAACTACCTCAAGGCCTTCCAGGCATCGGACGTGCTAGTGGTGGTGGGGTGGTCCTCCGACCTGCTCCCCTTTGCCCGCCGCAACAGCAACATCACCGTCGCCGCCCCTGCTGACGGCACGCTCCTCTTTGCCGACCTATGGGTGGGCGCCACGTGTCGTTCTCCTTGCTGCCTTCCCTCTTTTCCCACTCTACACTCATTGTTTCCTGCATCTATGGTAGTCACCTCCTACGAGACTAGCTTTTGAGTTATCTAATACAGGCCGCTTTTGCAGATATCTCTGTGCACATGTTTGGTATGCAGGCACATTTCGATTTCCATCCGTCCAAAGTCTCCTGTCTATCCACCCCGCTCTTTCCCCTCTCCCAGGCTGTGCCTGCCACTGCCCGCTACAACATTCCCAAGGCTGCCTGGCGCAACCGAGGGCCCTCCCCGCTCATCGGGCAGTGGATGAAATTTTGCCTACAGCCCGCCCGGGCAGTGCCCCTGGAGCGGGAAATCTTTTCCGCCTTCTCCCCCACGGTCCTGCCCGACTGCCTCCCTCTGCCACCAATTCAGCCAGCTGACGACTCAAGCATCAATGCCGCTAGCACTGGTGACAGCAGCGCCAAGGCCAGCACCAGCCGTGCCACCAACACTAGCAACAGCAACAGCAGCAGCAGCACCACCACCACCACCAGCAGCAGTAGCAGCAGCAGCAGCAGCAGCAGCAGAGGTGTAGGGTTACCAGCAGCATCGATCCTGGCAGCGAGTGAGTTCGTGGAGCCACTGGATGGCGCCACACTGGCAGAGCTCAACGCGGTGCTGCTGGGGGACAGGAAGGGGGGCGTGGCGGCACAGGGGCAGAGCGTGCAGGAGCGGGTGAAGCAGCTGCTAGAGGCTGCTGCAGGGTCAGTGCGAGGTGTAGTGAAGAGAATAGGTTGAGGCACTGGATGGCGCCACACAGGCACAGCTCAAACTTGCCTGTTGGGGGAGAAAGGGGAGTGCCTGGGCAGGTGTAGAGCATGCAAGGAACGGTGAGGCAGGCGCTTGTGGCTGTTGTTTAGTCCGTGCTGGGTGTGCTTAGAAGTGGTGCAGTGCGGTGTGTTGCGGTTCCTTCAGCAAGATGCTTCTTTCGTCTATTTTGAAGACACTTTAGGGAGCAAAAAATGCATTATATATAAAGCTGAATAGATACAAAAATGAATTAACAAACAGCCCACGTACCCGCTCACGGTGAATGGGGCAAAACTGCCTGCCGAGCAAACAGGCTCCGAGCAGCCAACTGAGCATGTTGGCTTGGAGCATTGGCAGGCAGAAATGGCAAGAGAAAGGCACAGCCCAGCCAGCCCACCTAATCAACCCCATCCAGGGTGGGTGGGGAGTAACTAATTACCCTCAAGGGACCCGCAAGGGACCCGTGCACCTGTGGCACTGCATCTCTGCCGCAAACGGGAGGTGTGATGCGTAAGAAACACCCCTCAAACGTGCGAGCAGGCTCAGGCCGAGTCCTGGTACTAAGGCGGATTGGCAGCGAGCCACCAGAGCATATTCGCCTTGCTGTTTCCATCGTCAAACGCTGTCAGCGCCTCATTGTTCCCCCTGGCTGCTGCTGGGTCATACGGTACGTGGCTTGCAGCGCCCATGCAAACCCACGCCACTTGTCTACATCACAACATCACCCCCCCCCCAGCACAGGCAGCACTAAGGAGTATTGGCAGCGAGCCACCAGAGCATGTTCGTCTTGCTATTCCCATCATCGAACGCTGTCAGCTTCTCGATATTCTCCCTCGCCGCAGCCGGATCATACGTGGCCTGCAGCGCCCATGCAAACCCCCGCCACTCATCCGTGGTGCCATCCCCCTGCAGCACAGGCAGCACCCACTGCACCACCTGGCGATTGAAAGCGGGGTCTGGGAAGAGGCGGGCGAGGAAGGGTGTGACTGGGAGCACCTGGATCCCCACGCGCTTGTCCGTTTGCTCCGCTGCTGCGAACCACAGCCCCGCGTCGCGCTTTGCGGCCCACACCATGCCGATGAGGCGGTTTGGGGCGGCGAAGATTGGGTCGTAGCTGGGGGAGGTGGACGTGGCTGCTGCTGCCAGGGCTGCTGTGGAGAGATGCGAGGAGGAGGGGGTGGTTGATGGTGGTTCTTCGAGTGCTGCTCTTGCTGCTCTTGCTACTGCTGCTGCTGCTGCTGCTGGTACTGGCGTTGTTGCTGCTGGTACTGGGGTTGTTGCTGCTAGTACTGGCGTTGTTGCTGCTGGTACTGGCGTTGTTGCTGCTGGAACTGGCGTTGTTGCTGCTGGTACTGGCGTTGTTGCTGCTGGTACTGGCGTTGTTGCTGCTGGTACTGGCGTTGTTGCTGCTGGTACTGGCATTGTTGCTGCTGGTACTGGTGTTGTTGCCGCTGGTACTGGCGTTGTTGCTGCTGCCGGCACTGGCGTTTCCGCTGCTGCTGGTGTTGGCGTTTTTGCTGCCGCTGGTGCTGGCATTTCTGCTGCCGCTGGTGATGGCGTTTCTGCTGCCGCTGGTGATGGCGTTTCTGCTGCTGCTGGCACTGGCGCTCCTGCTGGTGCTGCTGACGGCGCAGCAGAGGGGCTAGGCACTCCCCCACCACCATCACCACCACCACCACCACCACTGCCAGCGCCGCCATCAGCACTCTCAGGCACCTGGATGAGCGTCTGTGCAGCCACAGCCTCCACAGCAGCCAGCGTGGCGCCCAGATTCGCCATGTGCAGGTCCCCAAACGCATGGCCCAGCAGCGCCACCGCATAGTACCCATTCACCGCCTCACTGAAACTCTCCTGATTCCTCCCGTCGCCAAACTCAAACAGCCCGCTCGCCCACGAGTGCAGCGCGTACAAATCGAAGTGCCGCAGCCTTGGAAACGCCGCAGTGGCCCGCGGAGACATAATATCAGCCACAAGGTTGAGCACAGAGTGCCGGTGGGTCATGGCCCATGCAGGGTCCGCTTTAGCCACTACAGCAGCGGCGTACAGCCAGTAGCCGAAGTGGAAGTGGTGGTCGTTGTAGCACCCCATGCCGAAATCCGCCCCCGAGTCTGCCGCGCCGCTGGAGCTCACAATGCCGCCCCACGCCGGGTCGTACAGGAGCGAGTTTCCCGCGAACGACCCGTTGAACCATGCGGTTAGGGCGTCTCGCACCACTGCTACCGCCGTCCCTGCGGCTTCTGTTTCGCCTAGTTGCTCCGCGATTAGAGCCAACCGGGCGGCGCGGGCGGCGGTTTTCCCGAAGAAGTAGGTGGAGGTGGTGGTGATGGGGGTGAGGGCGGCGACGTCTGTCTGTAGTGCGAGGCGGAGGGAGAGGCGGAGGGAGGGGTCGGAGGAGAGGCGGGGGGAGTGCCAGGAGGCATGCAGAGGAGGCACCTTGACCTCCCACCTGCTGCCTGCTACCCCCACTGCTGGCCCGTCTAGTGTGGGGTAGACGAGCACGTGGGGGTTGGGTGTTGCTGCTGCTGTTGCTGATGGGGGCTGTAGCAGCGATGGGGCGGTTTGACCTGCGGATGGTGTGATGGTTTCTGCTGTAAATGATGATAATGATGATGAGTCTGCTGCTCCGCCAGATGAGGCGGCGAGGAAGGAGGAGGCGAGGAGGGAGGGGGTGATGAGGGGGAGGGTGGGAGTGCAGGGTGGAGGAATAGAGGCAGGGGCGGGGGAAGAGGCGGGGGCAGAGGCAGGGGCAGAGGCAGGGGCGGAAGAAGGGGCAGAGGCAGGGGCAGAAGAAGGGGCAGAGGCAGGGGCGGAAGCTGGTGCAGAGGCAGGGGCAGAAGAAGGGGGAGAGGTGACAGGGGGAGGCGTGGGGGTGACGGGCGGGAAGTTGACACCAGGAGGAGGTGTGGAGGAGGCGGGGGAGTAGGCCTTGAGGTGCATGCGCCGATGAACTGCCATGTGGGGGAGCGATGGGAAGACATGAGGGAGTGGGCACACGTGGAAGGGAAAAAAGAGGGAGGGTGAGAAAGGGATTAGGAGAAGTGGGGTCAACAAGGATACATATGTGTGCAACCTACTGCCTCTGCACCCACTGTCACCGCACTGGCTGATACTACACCCATTACCACACACACCGCACCGGCAGCAGTGCGAGCAGTCTCACTGCCTCTTGCCACCACCTACCATGCGCATTTTTCCACCACAGATGCACCTTTCACTCAGTCCCCACCTCCCACATTCCCCATTCGCCCACGCGAGTCACTGGACAACGCGAGCATGAGCGGAAAAGGCCCCATCCGTGGCAGCAGCAGCAGCAGCAGCAGCAGCAGCAGCAGCAGCAGCACTCTCACTGCCCCATGGAGCCACCACCCACGAGTACTTCACCCGCCACGGCTGCAGTTTCCCATCGCCGCCCATTACAACCCACATTCCCCATTCCGCCCATATTCCCAACTCCCATTCTCCACCCATTCACCCCCCATCCCCCCCGAGCACTCACTGGGCAGGGCGAACATGAGCGGCACAGCAGCTCCATCCGCAGCAGCACTCTCACTGCCCCATCGCAAGCATACTTAACGCGCCACGGCTGCACCTGCACGTCACCACCCACCACCACCCATATTCCCCTTCCACTCCTCACCACCCCCCCCCCCCCCCCTTTTCCCCATTCCCCTGAGCACTCACTGGGAAGGGCGAGCATGAGCGGCACAGCAGTCCCATCCGTGGCAGCAGCGGCAGCACCAACAGCACTCTCACTGCCCCACGGCGCCACCCTCCAAGCGTACTTGACCCGCCACGGCTGCACCTGCACATCGCCGCCCACCACCACGGCGCCTGCATACGCGTCCAGCACCGCCTCCTCCTCCGCCGGGGAGTTTCCAGGAAGCATCGCGGCGCGCAGCGTGCCGGTGAAGGGTGACGTGGCGGTGAGCGTGCTGTTGTGGAGCGAGAAGGTGAGCGGCGCTGACGCGTACAGCACCCACGTCTGCAAGGGGTGGAGTGCGGTGGGGGTTGGAGGGGTGCACGCAGAGGGTTTAAGGGCGGAATAGGAGGGATGATCCATTTCAGACAAAAACAAAGCAAAACAAAGGAAGACATAACAAAAATAAGTTATTTCAGGCAGCCTTGGGCACTCTGCCTGCCAGCCGTGGGCAACACAACCGACACAGTAGTACCTGTGCGTTGTTGAAGGTGAGTCGGTGCTTGGTGCCGTCAGCCGTGGACTGCACCTCCGTGATGGCATCGTCTGTATCAAGCACAGGCGTGGCTCCCGGTGAGGCGAACAGGAACGTGATGTACGGACTGCCCCGCACCAGCGGCACCGTCAGCACAGGCGCGGAAGATGGGGAGGAGGAGGAGGGGGAGGAAGTGGAGGAAGGGGAAGAGGAGGGGGAGTAGGCGAGAGTGACGGAGGTGTCGTCGTAGGAGGTGACCTGGTGGGTGGAGAGGCCCTCGAGCGTGGAGAGCATAAGCGTCGCCATGAACGCCTGGTGGGGTGGCGTGGGGACACGCACGCACGCACAGGGAGGTGCGTTGAAGGGCCAAGGGGAAATCAAGGGGGTGCAAGCAGGGCAAGGGTTCCCAGAAGAGGAATGGGGAGTGCGGGGAGGGCAAGGTGGGCGTGAGAGGAGCAGTGTGATGCAGAGGGGACATTAAGGATGGTCTCTACAGACAGAGGGAAGGTCAAGAGAGAACACCAGAGAAGCGAGGAAAAGGTTTAGAAAGGGCAGGTGGGAATAACCGAAGAGAAGGGAACCAATTGAGGCGGGAGAGCGAGGGTGCGAGAAGAGAAAGGAAGGGCTTGTGTGTCAAGGCGTGGAGACAAGGATGGGACGGGGGGATGTGTACGAGCGGCCAGATCCACCAAGGGTTGTGGACAGCATGGTTCCGCTAAGCATGCTCCGGTAGGTGAGACGCGCGATTTGAAGAGGTCTCTAGAAATCAGAGACGAGGGGGAAAACCCCAGCCTGCCTTCACCTGGCACCTGCCGCGTTCATCCGGCCATCCGTTCTTCCATGCGCACTCACATGATGAACCCATCACCCCCTTGGCCCCATCGCCTCACCTGGATGATAAATCGATCACCATCACCTCACCTGAACCGATCGCCATCGCCTTACCTGGATGATGAACCCCGGCTGCGCGTCTCTCGGCGGCGCGCCCCACGCGATGCGCCCCTCGCTGCTTTTGACGGCGTAGGGCGGCACGACCTCGGGACTGCCGCCGTCGCCCAGCACGAAGTTCTGCCACGGCGCGTTCGTCGGATACGGCGCCTGCACGGCGCGGCGGGGATGGGCGCACCGGGAAACACAGAGAGCGTGCATGAATGATGACGTCGTGTTGTACTAATCTCGCCGTAAGCCAGCGGCGTGGAAAGAAAAGGCGTGCATGGACGGTCGCGTAAGCAAGGAGGGCTTTTGCGTCGTCTCGAATGGCAACGGGAAGATGATGGGGACAAATGGAGCCAGGACCGGAAAATTGGCAGTTCCCGCTACAACAGGGTGTGAGACATCCAATGCGTTGCGAAATCCGAGGGAATTGGCAGTTCCCGTTACGACGGGAGGGCTTACGGAGAGGTTGGCGCTCCAAAGGGACGATGGCAGCGGAGCGACGGTCGAGATGAGCGACGGGAAGGCGAGCGCCATGGCGGGAACTACTATCAAGCTTGAGTTTGTCAAGTCGACGACGCACGGCGCGCGTAATTGGTAAGACTAAGCGCTCTTAGTCGGCTGTTGCTGAGCGAACTTTCAAGTGCTTGCTAGATTGCGTGCAGTGCATAATGTTTGGGAACGTGAATGAAGTCGCAATGTAGACTCGACGCCCATCTGACTATTTCAAGCAACTGCTGGGTCGAAGGCGATCGTCTACACAGATCACCTAACTCGCCGCGGTTTAGACAATCATCTCCACGCAACTGATTTATAGAACAGTCGAAGCGCGAAGCTATGTTCGAGGCGAGGCAGAAATCGAGGGCAGCTGCACTTGGCCAGGAGCGAAGCTGGGGGATGGTTTCGACAAATTGGTGTTGCGGGGGGGAGCGAGTGGTTGGGCCTTGAAATTAGTTTTCCCGCCACGCCATCCCACAGGGACGGGGGCGTGGTCTGTCACAAATGTCGGTGGCGTGCAGTCGCGTGTGATCGTGGGGGAAAGTACGACCTCGAACGACGCTAAACTAAATCGACGGTAGTGATTGATCTGTACAATTACGATCCAGGGCGTTCCTTGAGCTGGTATCATTCCTCCAATCCAGCACCACAGGTCGCCTAGCGCATGATTGGCTGCAAGAGGCACATTTGCAAGCTGACTGCGTGTGCGGCTTGTTGGGGAAGAAGCTGCACGGAAAAACCCAACTTGTACCTCACAACAAGGCGAATACTCGCTTACAAGCTGCTCCAAACTGCTAGTTAAAAAAGTTGTTGAAAATGCAGACAAGGAAGAATGGAATACATTCAAAGACTTTGTTGCATTGTGTCATCTATTGTACCACAAAAAACGGTGGACCAAAAGCTGCATTGAAGACTCCTGATGTTACATAGTGTGTTTTAATACTTCTAACGAAAATAACCGACAACAACGACGATTACGACGATGATGACTGCTTGGGGAGGGGACGGATACAGCGCGGGGCAGAAGGGGGGAGGAGGACGAGAAGGTAAACGCGGGGAGGGCACGGGCAGGGAGGAACGTGCGACAGGCGGTGGAAAACGACAAAGGGGGGAAGGGGGGGTCAAAAGAGGAAGCCAGGGAGCAGGAACACGGGGGATAGGGGCGGGGGGGGAGCGGGCGGCAAGACGGGGGCCCGATATAGGGGGTGTGACAATAAAGGGGGGGGAAGCAAGGACGATTTTAGCGCGTCGGGATTTTTCAACTTCGTTTTTTTGCCCCAACGACGACTCGGCGGGGTGGAGGGCCACCGAGAAGGGTTGCCCGCGCGAAGAACCGCCTCGTGGGCACGACCGTTGGGCGGTGGGAGGCCGCACACGGTCGCGGGGGTGGAGAGCGGAAACGGGCAGCCGGGGAGCGTGGGGGCGGTTGGATGGGACTGGAGCGTACGGGGGGCAGGGGAGTTGAGAGGGCAAGGGGAGGGGCAGCAACGGGCAGGGGTTGGGCCAGCTGAGGGCAAGGAAAAAGGGCGGGCGGGGGGTGAGCGGAGGGGCGAGGGATGCAACGGAGGCACGAGAGGGGGGAAACGAGTGTCATGGAGGGGGGAAGTGAGGGGCGCGCGGTGGGAAACAGCAAGGGGGTGGAAGAGGGGCAGAACGGGGGGATGCGGGCAGGAGGGGCGGGTTGTGGGGGCAGGGGAAGCGCGTGGCAGGAAGCGGGGAAACGGAGGTGGGGAAGGGGGTGGGGGTGAGAGTAGGGGGGCGGTGGGGGAGGGGGGGACGGGGCTGGCGGTGGTAAGGGGGCAGCAGGGAGGGGGGGAAGAGGGCGTGTGGAGGGGAAAGCAAAGGGAAGAGAGGGAGGAGGGGAGGGGCGGGGAGGGGAGAAGCCGAACGTACCGAGGGAGGAAACACGGGGCAGGGAAGGTAGAAAGCAAGGGCAGGGGTGCGGGGAAGCAGGGGCAGGGAGGGGAGAAGCAGTGGGTGCGTGGAAAACGGGAGGGGCAGGGAGGGAAGAACCGTGGGGCAGGGAGGGGCGAAACCGGGGGCAGGGGCACGGGCAGGTGGGGGGGGGGGGGGGGGGGGGGGGGGGGGGGGGGGGGGGGGGGGGGGGGAGGGGAGGGAGGGAGGGGAGGGAGGGGGGTGAAAGAAAGGAGGGGCAGGGAGGGGGAAAGAGGGGGGGGCTGAAAACGAGGGGCAGGGCGGGGAGAAGGGAGAGGCAAGGAGGGGAGAAGCCGAGCACACCGGGGGAGGAGACGCGGGGCAGGGAGGTGCGAAGCCAAGGGCAGGGAGGGCAGAGCGCGGGGGCAGGGAGGGGAGGGAGGACGGGGGCAGAGAAAGGCCACGAGGGGCTGAGAGGGGAGATGCCAGGCGCAGGGGGGCGAGAAACGAGGGGAAGGAGCGGATTGAGGGGAGGCAGGGAGCGGAGCTGCTCGGGGAGGGGACGGATGCAGCGCGGGGCAGAGGGGGGGGAGGAGGAGGAGAAGGTAAACGCGGGGAGGGCACGGGCGGGGAGGAACGTACGGCGGGCGGTGGGAAACGACAAAGGGGGGCAGGGGGGGGGTCAAAAGAGGAAGCCAGGGAGCAGGAACACGGGGGATAGGGGCGGGGGGAGCGGGCGGCAAGAGGGGGGCCCGGTATAGGGGGTGTGACAATAAAGGGGGGGGAGCCGTGCAACGGGTGTGTACGGGTCCAGGCTCGGGATGGACGTGGTACGATCATACCTCGGCTACTACGCCGGATCCCATCAGAACTCCGAAGCTAAGCGCCGGTGGGCGAGAGCAGTTATTCATTAATAAGGGAAAGTCAAATACAAGCCGGATATAGATGTTTTTCCAAGACTAGGAAATTTCGGCATGACCAATTTCCTATGAGGACGGTATATATATATCGGTAGTAAAAGGGGGAAGAAAGAAAAGAAGAAAAGATCAAGGAGTAAGAAAAATAAGTAGGAGATAGAAGAGAGTCGTGTGAAGAGAAGAGAAGGATAGAAGAAGGGAAAGAGAGAGGGAGGTGGGAAGAGAAGAGGAGAGAGAGAAAGAGACTAAGGAGGAGGAAACACTTAGGGACCAAACACGGCAGCAACCCGCACGACAGCGCGGGCACAGTGTTTCAAGCACACTATCGTTTTCTACACATACGCATCATATATATATTGCATGTCTGCAGCACTCTCGAAGCACCCTGTGATATGGTGCCAGGTACCCTGCCCCGCACCCAGTGGGACAGGTGCGGGCATCCACCCATCGTCGGACCCCCCCGCCTGCCGCACCGCATGCTGGATGATACATTGAGCCTGCGCGCGCTGTAGTGCCACGGAGAGGCGTGTGTAGTGAGTCCGGCCTCAAATATCCGTGCCGATCCGTCATCCCCCCCTCCCCTATCCCTCCTCCGCTGTGCTATCCGCTTTGCGCAGAGCCCCAGAAACTGACGCAGCGGCTCGCTGAGAAGGCCAAAGGTCTCAACCACGCACGCGTAAAAGTGTGGTGCCGGCTGCAACCCCTCTAAGTACGGCTCCCAGTGACGCAGCTTCTCCTGCACCCGCCTAGCTGCTGCCACTCCAATCTGTGTGGGGGTCGCCCGTCTCAGCTGCACGTTCCCCTCCCGCTGTGGATCCGCTATGGAGACATCCACAAGGACCATCAAACCCTGCCCAACGTCGCGGCAGGTGAGGTCTGGGATGCGGGAAGGGGTGCCTACGCGGCCTGTGCGTCCGACTGGTCCCTGCTGCTGCGCGGGCTGCTGCCCTGTCTGGTCCCTCGGTGCCTCCTCTCCGGTCGTCTCTCTCCCCCTGTCGTCCCCTCCACCCGCCTGTCCTCTCCCCTCCCCCTCTCTACCCTCCCTACCCCTCCCCACCCCTCTGTTTGATCCCCTGCTACCTCTCTCACCCCCTGGTCCTCCCCTCCCGATCCCGCTGCCCCCCCTCTACCTCCGTCCGCTCTCTGCTGCTCCCGCCCCTGCCCCACGCCCGAGCCCAAAACAGGAGGCACGGCGCCCTGGGTCTGTGGCCTCCGCTGGCTCTCCTGCTGCTGCCTCTGCTGTCCCCCCTCCCGTCCTGGCCCGTCTGCTCCCCCTGCCGTCCCCTCTGCCCTCCTGCCCCTCGCGGCACCCGTCCCCGCAGCTGATGCTGTCCCCACTGCCCCCCACCCCCCGGCTGTCCTGCCTCGCCCCTCTGCTCCAGCGGCCCCCCAGCCCGTGTCCCCTCTCCCACCACCGGCTGTCCCTGCAGTCTCGCTCTAGCCTCCTCCAACTGTGTGAACAGCGTAGTGTCCTCCACCTTCACCGCGAAGCCCGCCTCGACCGCAAAGTCTCGAAGCATGAACTTCACCGTGTCGTGGATGGTCGTGGCGACGCCGAAACGTGGGCACCGGACCGCGTGATGAGGCACCGTCATGTCGTCGATCGCCTGTCCACAGGAGCACTGACCTGTAAGGGCTAACTGGGGGATAGGGAGACCAAGACGAGATGATGAAGCCACCTGCCACAGCGCCTCGGAGAAGCGCAGTGGGTCGGCGTACGGCACCGACTGCAACCACGCTCCTGCACCTCCGCCCTGAAGGGAAGTCAAACGGGCAAGGTGCAAGGGAGAGGTGTGACGGGCACGCACGGCCTCCAAAGCGTGCGCCTCCAGAAGGCGGCTCGCTCCGGGGCGATGCGCGCCATGCGCCGAATGCCGAAGCCCCCGAGGCGGATGGGGAGGAAGATCTGGTCTCGGGCGGCCTCTCGCACGTCCTCGCGACAAGCCCAGGTCCCCGGCGCTAGAAGCTGCTGAAATGTCTCACCTAGGCGTGCGTCCCACTCTGTGAAACTGGAAAGCACCGCGGGTGAGGGAGGGACGGTCCTCGACAGATACTGCGGGCGAGTGCTGACACACGCCGAAAGAAGACGAGCAGCTGTCTGGGGCTGGCGTAACCTCGGGAGCCAGGGTAGCACCCGCCCCATCCTCTCAAGACGATCTGGGAGGCTACGCTCCACAAACGAGACGCTGCCCACTGGCACGCCCGTCACCGTGAGTCCTCGGCGTGCGACCTCGATCCCCAGGCTCG